TATCGTGTAGACACAAGTTGAAGTTTGTAAGTCTACTTTTGCTACAACTAACGCACTTCTAGTAAAGGCTACAAGCGCTTACTATGTTTTCTAAATCACAGTTGTAATCAGGTATTGAAGTTAGTCTGGTGCAACGATAGCACGCGGAGCTAACGGGACGGGATCATGCTTCTCTCCGATCCAACGGGAACTTGCTCACTTTCGATTTAGCGGCAGGACAAGGCCTACTCTTACCGCTGTGATGATGCTTCAACGCATCCGAGAGCTCCGCGCGCAGGAGGACCAAGCACGTGACTGCACGACTGTACGTCAAGTAGTTAAAGGATCAAAGTGTAGTCTGCTATCCATCCTTAAGACGGATCTCGAGTGCAATTGATCAAAATTGACCAGAACATTCAGCAGAAAAGCAGGAACATCCGGAAAGCTAAAACGAACGCTGCTCATGAAGCTCATAGTGGCGCCATGGGTTACCGTATAACATGTAATACTTCAAGCAGGATACACGAATCATACTATGGCAGGGTTCTGCAGAGGTTTTTTGCGCGGCACGTATCGTGTAGACACAAGTTGAAGTTTGTAAGTCTACTTTTGCTACAACTAACGCACTTCTAGTAAAGGCTACAAGCGCTTACTATGTTTTCTAAATCACAGTTGTAATCAGGTATTGAAGTTAGTCTGGTGCAACGATAGCACGCGGAGCTAACGGGACGGGATCATGCTTCTCTCCGATCCAACGGGAACTTGCTCACTTTCGATTTAGCGGCAGGACAAGGCCTACTCTTACCGCTGTGATGATGCTTCAACGCATCCGAGAGCTCCGCGCGCAGGAGGACCAAGCACGTGACTGCACGACTGCACGTCAAGTAGTTAAAGGATCAAAGTGTAGTCTGCTATCCATCCTTAAGACGGATCTCGAGTGCAATTGATCAAAATTGACCAGAACATTCAGCAGAAAAGCAGGAACATCCGGAAAGCTAAAACGAACGCTGCTCATGAAGCTCATAGTGGCGCCATGGGTTACCGTATAACATGTAATACTTCAAGCAGGATACACGAATCATACTATGGCAGGGGTTCTGCAGAGGTTTTTTTGCGCGGCACGTATCGTGTAGACACAAGTTGAAGTTTGTAAGTCTACTTTTGCTACAACTAACGCACTTCTAGTAAAGGCTACAAGCGCTTACTATGTTTTCTAAATCACAGTTGTAATCAGGTATTGAAGTTAGTCTGGTGCAACGATAGCACGCGGAGCTAACGGGACGGGATCATGCTTCTCTCCGATCCAACGGGAACTTGCTCACTTTCGATTTAGCGGCAGGACAAGGCCTACTCTTACCGCTGTGATGATGCTTCAACGCATCCGAGAGCTCCGCGCGCAGGAGGACCAAGCACGTGACTGCACGACTGCACGTCAAGTAGTTAAAGGATCAAAGTGTAGTCTGCTATCCATCCTTAAGACGGATCTCGAGTGCAATTGATCAAAATTGACCAGAACATTCAGCAGAAAAGCAGGAACATCCGGAAAGCTAAAACGAACGCTGCTCATGAAGCTCATAGTGGCGCCATGGGTTACCGTATAACATGTAATACTTCAAGCAGGATACACGAATCATACTATGGCAGGGGTTCTGCAGAGGTTTTTTTGCGCGGCACGTATCGTGTAGACACAAGTTGAAGTTTGTAAGTCTACTTTTGCTACAACTAACGCACTTCTAGTAAAGGCTACAAGCGCTTACTATGTTTTCTAAATCACAGTTGTAATCAGGTATTGAAGTTAGTCTGGTGCAACGATAGCACGCGGAGCTAACGGGACGGGATCATGCTTCTCTCCGATCCAACGGGAACTTGCTCACTTTCGATTTAGCGGCAGGACAAGGTCTACTCTTACCGCTGTGATGATGCTTCAACGCATCCGAGAGCTCCGCGCGCAGGAGGACCTAGCACGTGACTGCACGACTGCACGTCAAGTAGTTAAAGGATCAAAGTGTAGTCTGCTATCCATCCTTTAGACGGATCTCGAGTGCAATTGATCAAAATTGACCAGAACATTCAGCAGAAAAGCAGGAACATCCGGAAAGCTAAAACGAACGCTGCTCATGAAGCTCATAGTGGCGCCATGGGTTACCGTATAACATGTAATACTTCAAGCAGGATACACGAATCATACTATGGCAGGGGTTCTGCAGAGGTTTTTTTGCGCGGCGCGTATCGTGTAGACACAAGTTGAAGTTTGTAAGTCTACTTTTGCTACAACTAACGCACTTCTAGTAAAGGCTACAAGCGCTTACTATGTTTTCTAAATCACAGTTGTAATCAGGTATTGAAGTTAGTTTGGTGCAACGATAGCACGCGGAGCTAACGGGACGGGATCATGCTTCTCTCCGATCCAACGGGAACTTGCTCACTTTCGATTTAGCGGCAGGACAAGGTCTACTCTTACCGCTGTGATGATGCTTCAACGCATCCGAGAGCTCCGCGCGCAGGAGGACCTAGCACGTGACTGCACGACTGCACGTCAAGTAGTTAAAGGATCAAAGTGTAGTCTGCTATCCATCCTTAAGACGGATCTCGAGTGCAATTGATCAAAATTGACCAGAACATTCAGCAGAAAAGCAGGAACATCCGGAAAGCTAAAACGAACGCTGCTCATGAAGCTCATAGTGGCGCCATGGGTTACCGTATAACATGTAATACTTCAAGCAGGATACACGACTCATACTATGGCAGGGGTTCTGCAGAGGTTTTTTTGCGCGGCACGTATCGTGTAGACACAAGTTGAAGTTTGTAAGTCTACTTTTGCTACAACTAACGCACTTCTAGTAAAGGCTACAAGCGCTTACTATGTTTTCTAAATCACAGTTGTAATCAGGTATTGAAGTTAGTCTGGTGCAACGATAGCACGCGGAGCTAACGGGACGGGATCATGCTTCTCTCCGATCCAACGGGAACTTGCTCACTTTCGATTTAGCGGCAGGACAAGGTCTACTCTTACCGCTGTGATGATGCTTCAACGCATCCGAGAGCTCCGCGCGCAGGAGGACCTAGCACGTGACTGCACGACTGCACGTCAAGTAGTTAAAGGATCAAAGTGTAGTCTGCTATCCATCCTTTAGACGGATCTCGAGTGCAATTGATCAAAATTGACCAGAACATTCAGCAGAAAAGCAGGAACATCCGGAAAGCTAAAACGAACGCTGCTCATGAAGCTCATAGTGGCGCCATGGGTTACCGTATAACATGTAATACTTCAAGCAGGATACACGAATCATACTATGGCAGGGGTTCTGCAGAGGTTTTTTTTGCGCGGCACGTATCGTGTAGACACAAGTTGAAGTTTGTAAGTCTACTTTTGCTACAACTAACGCACTTCTAGTAAAGGCTACAAGCGCTTACTATGTTTTCTAAATCACAGTTGTAATCAGGTATTGAAGTTAGTTTGGTGCAACGATAGCACGCGGAGCTAACGGGACGGGATCATGCTTCTCTCCGATCCAACGGGAACTTGCTCACTTTCGATTTAGCGGCAGGACAAGGCCTACTCTTACCGCTGTGATGATGCTTCAACGCATCCGAGAGCTCCGCGCGCAGGAGGACCTAGCACGTGACTGCACGACTGCACGTCAAGTAGTTAAAGGATCAAAGTGTAGTCTGCTATCCATCCTTTAGACGGATCTCGAGTGCAATTGATCAAAATTGACCAGAACATTCAGCAGAAAAGCAGGAACATCCCGAAAGCTAAAACGAACGCTGCTCATGAAGCTCATAGTGGCGCCATGGGTTACCGTATAACATGTAATACTTCAAGCAGGATACACGAATCATACTATGGCAGGGGTTCTGCAGAGGTTTTTTTTGCGCGGCACGTATCGTGTAGACACAAGTTGAAGTTTGTAAGTCTACTTTTGCTACAACTAACGCACTTCTAGTAAAGGCTACAAGCGCTTACTATGTTTTCTAAATCACAGTTGTAATCAGGTATTGAAGTTAGTTTGGTGCAACGATAGCACGCGGAGCTAACGGGACGGGATCATGCTTCTCTCCGATCCAACGGGAACTTGCTCACTTTCGATTTAGCGGCAGGACAAGGTCTACTCTTACCGCTGTGATGATGCTTCAACGCATCCGAGAGCTCCGCGCGCAGGAGGACCTAGCACGTGACTGCACGACTGCACGTCAAGTAGTTAAAGGATCAAAGTGTAGTCTGCTATCCATCCTTTAGACGGATCTCGAGTGCAATTGATCAAAATTGACCAGAACATTCAGCAGAAAAGCAGGAACATCCGGAAAGCTAAAACGAACGCTGCTCATGAAGCTCATAGTGGCGCCATGGGTTACCGTATAACATGTAATACTTCAAGCAGGATACACGAATCATACTATGGCAGGGGTTCTGCAGAGGTTTTTTTTGCGCGGCACGTATCGTGTAGACACAAGTTGAAGTTTGTAAGTCTACTTTTGCTACAACTAACGCACTTCTAGTAAAGGCTACAAGCGCTTACTATGTTTTCTAAATCACAGTTGTAATCAGGTATTGAAGTTAGTTTGGTGCAACGATAGCACGCGGAGCTAACGGGACGGGATCATGCTTCTCTCCGATCCAACGGGAACTTGCTCACTTTCGATTTAGCGGCAGGACAAGGTCTACTCTTACCGCTGTGATGATGCTTCAACGCATCCGAGAGCTCCGCGCGCAGGAGGACCTAGCACGTGACTGCACGACTGCACGTCAAGTAGTTAAAGGATCAAAGTATAGTCTGCTATCCATCCTTTAGACGGATCTCGAGTGCAATTGATCAAAATTGACCAGAACATTCAGCAGAAAAGCAGGAACATCCCGAAAGCTAAAACGAACGCTGCTCATGAAGCTCATAGTGGCGCCATGGGTTACCGTATAACATGT